AGAATCGTGGCAGAAGGATCTAGAGGCATCCCTCGGAACGAGAACACTAGCCTGTGCTCACCATGCACTGCAGCAGAGGACAAGGCGGACCCCCTCTCCCCTCCTGTGCCCCCGCTCCCCCCTGCTCCTCCCCCCCTCGGTTCTGCGGCAGGAGCAGCAGCAGCAGCAGCCGTCGCTGCTGCAGGGGCGCTGCTGCTGCTCCGTCCACCCCCGCTGCATGGCAGCGTTTCAGTGGGTAAAAGCCCAGCCCTGCTACTACCAGCAGCAGCACCTGCACCAGCAGCAGAAGGCAACACAGCACCTACATCCCCACCTCTCTCCCCGTCCTTCCCAGCTCCGCTCTTAGCTTGCTGCCGCTGCTGCACTGCCCCTTCCCCTACCACACTACTGGAACCTGGCATCATTTTCTCACTATTGTCTGCAGCTGTGCCCTCTACTGATGCTGCTGCTGCTGCTGCTCGTGCCTGCTCGTGCCGTGCCAGGGACTTGACCCGACCAAGCCCATCCAGCTCGCCCTCCTCTATCTCCATGTCCCCTGCGTTCAGCCCTCCCATCAGCTGCCATCATGCATGCACCGCCATGCCATGCCATGCCATACCATGCCAGCCGCAACAATATACGCAAGTCACATCGACAAGGGAGGGCATGCACAAAATAGGAGAGAAACCATCTTGAAAGAACGGAGGAAACTCAGAAAAGAATTATAAGAGGAAGATGGCAAAGAAAGGACAGGAGAGAGGGGGGAGAAGAAGAGTCCGCCTTGATGTGAGAGAGATGCAAAACAGCACACGGCTTTGTTTCTGAAGCACGTACAGCCATAAGGTCAGCGAGGTCCGAGAGTGGCTCCTCCTCCTCTCTCCGCTGCTCCCCCTCATGCCCTGCTCCCTTCACTTCCTTCATCTCATCCTTCCCCTTGCCCTTCCTCCGCCTCTCCCTCGCCTCCGGCTCCTCGTCCCTCACCCCAGTCCCCTCAGTCTTCTCCTTCCCATTCCTCCCCCCCTCTGTTCGACCATCCTCGCTTCCTCTCGTACTTCCCTTCTCCCTCCCCTTCTCAGCTCTCTCTTCCCCAGCAACCCTGCCGCTTCCCATGCTCGCCTTCTTCCCCTTCCCCGCACTCCACCAACCTCTCGCCATTCCCAGCCGTGATTTCCCCTCACCTTTCTCGCTCGAACCCCCCCTCACCTCCTCCTTTCCACCCCCCTTGCTCTCTCCCTTCCCATCCTGCGACGAACCTCGCTTACCCCTCGCCTTACCACCCTCCTTTCTCTTCCACACCCCCTCTGCCTCCTGCCCTCCCGCCCCCTCGCCCTCCTTATCTTTCCCTTCTCTTTTCGATCGGGACCCTGATCCCTCCCCTCTCTCTCTCCCCTTAAGCGCCCCCCACCCGCCCTTACCCAGGAATTTGCCCCCACTCGCCCCATCCCTGGCTGCAGTATCCGCCTCATCCGTCCCTCTGGTTTCCACACCCTTCCCTTCCCTCCGCTTGCTGTTACCACCGCCAGCACCGTCACCATCACCCGAGGCAGCGGCGTCAGCTGCAGCAGCAAGGCAAGCAGCACTGGAAGCACCACCATCAGCAGCCTCCTTGCCCGCTGTTCTCTCCCGCTCGCCTGCTACGTGCGCTCTTGCAAGTGCTCCCTTGGCCTCATCCGCAGCAGCCTCTCTGCTCGGAGCAGCAACAGCATCCGAGGCATTAACAGCGGCAGCAGGAGCAGCCGGAGCGGCACGAGTGGAGGAGGGGGCGGTGGCAGGAACAGCAGTAACAGCAGTGACATGGTGCGAGCGTCTCACTCTTGGCCACAGAAACTCCTCTATAGCAGACAGAGTCGCCAGGGGCTCGATGAGCACCACATTGGACGAGTAATCCCTCACCGACCGCTCACACCGCTCCCTCACTAGCCTCAGCTTAATTGGCTGTGACAGTGCAGGCAGTCCAGACACCAGCCCAGCCCCCATGGGCCCTGCTGCCGCCGCCACCGCAGCAGCAGACTCATCCGCCTCTCCAAACACTCCTCCTCCTGCTGCTGCTCCTCTTGCCCCTCCTGCCCCTCCCAGCCCCCCGTGCCAGCGAGCCATCCCTTGCCCACCTGGCTTCCCCGCTCTACCAGGAATAGACCCCCCAGGGCCAAGCCCAAGGGTGGATGCCGAGGCAACGCCGCCAGAGGCGAAGGCCCCTCCCCCAGGCAGCTGGAAGAGCTCTGTTTGAAGCACTGAAAAGCGCTCCCTTGCTGCCAGGGCCGCTTGCAAGCGGCGCACCAGCAGACCGACAGAGACAGGCTCGGAGGCGGGGGGGAGAGGAGAGGAGAGCGCGAGGGGGGAGGAGGGAGAGGAGGGGGCCGGCAAGGTGCTGGTGGCTGTGGAGGAAAAGGGTGGGGAGGGGGTTGCGGAGTGGGCGAGGGGGAGGGCTGCGGAGAGCACAGCTGCGATTACCTGAAGGCGCAGGACCACCTCACACCGCCGCCGCTCCTGCTGCACCCACCAATCCAGCCCTGACACGTGGCTCCCCCCATCCTCCCCACCGCTGCCGCGAGCAGCAGCAGCAGGAGCGGGAACAGGGGGCAGAGGAGGGAGGGTGGAGGGAGAGAGGAAGCGCAGTACAGCAGAGGGCACGCCCCCTTCTACTAGCTCAAAAGTGGTCACACACACAGACCCGTTCCCGGCCATACCAGCAGCAGCAGCAGCAGCAGCAGCAGCAGCAGCAGCAGCAGCAGCAGCAGCAGCAGCAGGACCATTCCCTGTGGCTCTACCCCCCAGCATACTCAGCACCTGGCACAGCACAACTGTATCATGTCTCAGCCGCTCCACCATCTCCACTGCCCATCCCCTCTTAGCCGTAACCACCACCCCACTCCCCTCCGCATTCCCCTTCCTCGACTCGGCTCCCCCACCTCTGCTCGCACTCTCTCTCCGCCCCTCCGTCTGTGCCTGCGCCTGCGCCCCTGCCCCTCCCGGTCCCTGTCCCACTCCCAGTCCCTGCCCCTGTCCCTGTGTCTGTGTCGGTGTCTGTGTGCCTACTCCTGACCCTTGTATCTCCCGGCACAGCGCCTGCAGCTGCAGCAGACCGTCAGCAGCACCGGAGGGCTCGTTGGCCTGCCACCCAGGAGGGAAGAACTGCGCATACAGCTGCTGTGCCTCCGCTGCCACCGCCGCCAGCAACGTTGCTGCTGCCGCCGCACGCGCCGCTGCAGCCGATGCTGCTGCTGCTGATGGTTGTGAAGCAGCAGATGAAGAAGCACCGGGGCCACCAGCAGAGGAACCAGCAGCACGGGGAGCAGCTGACCTGTGTGCGAGACGGCGTGAGACCGATGCGCCAGCAGCAGCAGCTGCAGCTGCAGCAGCAGCAGCAGCAGCAGCAGCAGCAGCAGAGGTGGTGGAGCAGTCGCGTGCGGAAAACTCACCATTCTCTGTTTCTCCTGGCCCCCCCGCTGCACCTCCCGCGTCTCCCTTGGCTCTGGCGCGTTTACCCATAGCAGCCATCCACCGACTGAAGCTCGCAGCACTTGACCCCGGTGGAGCCGAAGGTGAACCATCAGCAGCAGCAGCAGAAGCAGCAGCAGCAGTAGCAGTAGCAGTAGAGGAAGCACTCGCTCCCTTCTTCTCTTTCCCCACCGCTGCTCTCTTATCTCCTGGTGATGATGATGATGATGATGATGGCTGCTTGCCAAGCGACGAGGCAGATGCAGCAGGAGACCTTGCAGATTGCCTCCTGGCTGGGTCTTTTCTCCCTGCTGCAGCAGCAGCTGATGACGGTAGGGAAGCTGCTGCAGCGGAAGAAGAAGCAGCAGCAGCAGGCGGAAGAGGGGAGAGAGGAGGCGGAGCGGCAGGGGAACGAGCAGCAGCAGAACCACCACCACTGCTTCCAGAGGCCCCTCCCTTGGCAGGGGAATGACGCGCAGAGGGTGAGGCGGAGGCGACGGAGGGGATGAGGTTCTGGATGGCGAAGAGAGTGCCTTCGCGGGAGAAGGGCAGGCGGAAAGTGGACGCGTCCTTGTGCAGCAGGAGAGAGGCGATGCGCAGTGCTTGCAGGTGGAGAGAGGCGTCCTGGGAGGACAGCACGTCTGCCAGGAAACTGGAGCCGGGGGGGGCGGAGGAGGTTTTAGGGGAGGAGGGGAGAGACAAGTAGGGGTTGTGGGAGAGCGATGAGAGGGAGAACGAGAAGAGGGGCGGAGAGGGGTGGGTATGTACGGGGAGGGGAATGAATAGCACAAGAGGAGGTGGCAGAAAGGGACTACACCATGAAAAGGGGTTGGAGAGTGTTTTGAGAATTCTCAAAAACACCCTGCAGAATGAACAGCACGAGAGGAGGCGGCAGAAAGGGACCACAATGAAAAGGGGTGGGAGGGAGCTGCAGGGCATGGGTCACAGCACAACCAAAAGGCGGGTGGGTGGGTGGGTGGGAGGGCATAGCAAAAACAACGCATAGCGTGCAGGATGGCAGGGCAGCAGGGCGGCAGCAGGGCCAAGACTCGAGAGTAGAGTACCTAGCGATAGAGGAGGCAGGAGGCAGGAGGGGCATGGTGGCGTGGGTGGAGAGCAGCAGCACGTTGCAGATGATCTCTAGGCACTTGTGCCGCACCGCCGCATTCATTGTCGCGCCATACGCCTGCGATGGTGATGGTGACGGTGACGGTGATGAAGACGGTGACGGCCGCACACACGCAGGTGGGAAGAAGAGATGATTAGGAGGATGGGGAGGGAAGGGAAAAGAGAGTTAAAAGGAGGGGAAGGGGGGGTGGATAAGAGCGAAACAGGGGACAACAGTTGGAGATATGAGCATCTGGAGGATGGGGAGCACATGCCACACACACTACTGTGTATTGCCAGCCAGTGCACAACAACAGCTCGGGCAGCACACAGCCTCCCTTGTCCCACTACCATCCCTCTCACTGCAATCCCATACTACCACCCCATGGCATCCCATGCCATGTCATGCTATGCGTCAAAGCAGCACCAGCAGCAGCTGCCCCCCCCCCAGCAGCAGCAGCTGCAGCAGCTGTCCCCCCAGCAGCAGCTGTCCCCCCAGCAGCAGCAGCTGCAGCAGCACCAGCAGCAGCTGTCCCCCCAGCAGCAGCAGCAGCAGCAGCAGCAGCAGCAGCAGCACGCACCTGCATGATGAGGGGAAACAAGTCCGTGACAAACGGCGTCAGCCCCCCTGGCGCCTGCTGAAACGCCCTCTTCCTTGCGCGCTCACTCACTCCCTTCCCCTTCCCCTCCTCCGCCCTCTCCTTCCCCTTGCCCTTCCCCTCTCCTCCACCACCGGCCACAGCTCTAACGCCATCCTCTTCTCCCTTTCTGCCGGCAGCTCCAGTACATGTAGCCCCACTTGCTTCTCCTGTCCCCTTCTCCTCCTCCCCCTCCTGCTCTCTACCCTCCTCTTCCCCTTCCTCCCCCTCTTCATTCCCTAGGGTGACACCCCTCTCCTCGCTCTCATCACAAGAAATGTCCTCAGATAACACCTCCCCCTCCTCCAACTCCTCCTCTGCAACACGTGGCAGCAGCTCATTGGCTAGTGCCAGGATCTCGTACACCTGTGGACGGACGAGGAAGGAAGAATTGGGAGAGAAGCGGAGGGGAAAGGCGAAGGGAGGAGGATGGGGAGAGGGGGGAACAGGAAGGCGCAGGCAGAGGATATTGCATGAGAGACGATGGCAGAAAAAAGGATTCAATATCAGGAAGGGTAATGGGCAAAGCTATGCAGGTGCATGCACACAAGCACCCAAGCACGCATGCACACAAGCACGCATGCACCTGCTTCCATGTAGTTTTGAGACGTCTCAAAACTAACCCACTTATCCAAGTACCATAAGAAAGTGCCTACCGACAAGGCAACCCTCCCCTCTTCCCCCCCTTTCTCCTCACCTCTTCAACCGGCCTGGTTAGTCCTGGAGCGGAAGCAGAAGCAGCCGCCACTGCTGCCACTCCCTCCCCTCGCACCCCTCCTGCACTACCACCACCACCATCATCAGCAGCAGCAGGGGAAAAGCCAGCAGGGCTAGCAGCGGCAGTGGAAGCAGCAGTGGCGGCGGCGGAGTGTGGGGGGGCGTGGAGGCCGGAGGAGAGGAGAGCGTCACGGAGGAGAGAGGTGATGTCTGCTGAGAGGAGCGTCTCTGATGCCCCCTCTGCTTCCCGCGCACACAGGGTGAGCAGCCGCAGGAGACCCTGGGGGAGGGGAGGCGCGGGAAAGGATGTGCCGTGGGAGGGAGGGTTGAGTTGAGTCACCGAAAGGGATAGCATCAGTGATGAGATTTTGGCTGGTAGGCGAAGTCTAGTTTTGAGGCGACTCAAAACTACACCGAAAGGGATAGCATCAGTGATGAGATTTTGGCTGGTAGGTGAAGAACGAGGGTGTGGGAGGGAGGGTCCAGCGTGTGTGAAGGAAAGAAAAAACCAAGGAAAGAAAAGACCAAGGAAAGATGCTCCTGGGAGAGCTGACTTAGAAGAGGTTGAAGAGGAGAGAGCAAGAGAGACTCGAAAAGTAGCAGAAGAGAGAGAGTAAGTGGCGGGCGCTGGGCACTACTGTAGCAACTGACAGAAGATCAGCTGCATAGCATACCACAAACGTCGTGTTTTGAGGCGCCTCAAAACTACGCTGGGCACTACTGTAGCAACTGACAGAAGATCCGCTGCATACCACAAACGTCGTGGGAGTGATGCTGACTGCCCCTCCCACACCCCCCCCTCCTCCGTTGAGCGCCCCAGCGCCCCCAGCTGGGCTGCAGTTGGCGGCGAGGAGGCGCACAGCGTGGGAGATGAGGCCAGAGGACGCGCATAGCAAGGAGAGGTGCTCGGGGTTGGACGCCACTGCAAGGGCTATGCGCGTCACACAGATGCACGTGCTCTCCACCACCTGCCAAGAACGAGAAGGGATGAGGAGGCAAGGAAGGGAGGAGCACATGCAAGAACGAGAGAGAACGTGGTTGTTTGACCACTCATACACTCCAGTTAGAGGCCAGTGGCCACTGCGTGACTGTATCCTTCAAGAAGGAAAGGAGAGGAAAGGCAGTGAGCGTGAGGAGAAGAGCAGAGAGCCTGCGTGGGGCGCGAGCAGTGTGCGACGAGTGCCGGCGCGGCGCACCTTGGAGTCGGAGTGCTGCAACATGTTGCCGAGCACGGGCGAGGCCTCGAGCAGCATGCCCACACAGTCCGCTGGCACGCTGCGACACACATTCGCTGCCGTGCGCGCTGCCACTTGCTGGAGGACAGGGGGGATAAGGAAGAGAGGAAGGCCACGTGGAGGGGGCTGATTGGTTTGACAGAGTCACGGAGACATCCTGGGAGGCCAGTGGGGAGCCTTAGGGATGAGAGCTAGGTTGTGAGAGGGACACTGGCAGTAAAGGCAACGAGAGTGTTTGGAGCTCGGGGCAGAAGCTTCAGGCACGTCTGCTATGTGAGGCACTGCAAGAAAGCGCACACTCAAAGGCACGACGTGTGGCGTGTGGCGCGTGGCGCGTGGCGCATGGCGTGTGGCATGTGGCGTGTGGCGTGTGGCGTGTGGCGTGTGGGCTGACCTGGATGCTGGTGGAGAAGAAGTCGAGGTGCGAGAGCACGGCAGTGAGGGCACCAGCACGCAGGCATGCCGATGGATGGTCCTGAGACACCTTCTCCAACGCTTGCAGCGACTGGGGGGGGGGAGAGGGCGGGTGAGGAAGAACCGGGAGGGGGGGAAGAACAGCAAGCACCACCAGTCAGCACGATCTGCAGAGGATAGCACAGCCTGATTGAATCAGAGGAGCAGAAGGGGGAGCAGAAAGAAGGGGGAGCAGAAAGAAGGGGGAGCAGAAGGGGAAACCGACGGGGGAAAAGGGAAGCAAACGCATGCCAAAACCTCCCTCGCCCTTTTCCCAGCAAAGCCACTGCTGCGAGCAGCAGAGAAACCGGTCGACCCGTTGGTTGCCCACCTGTTCTGCAAGATCGATGTACTCGATGGTGAGCAGGCGCGCGCAGAGCGACGGCACGGCGCCGTGGTGGACCAGGGAGGAGCACGCACTACTCGGCAGCACGTCACACAGGTACGTGAGCGCACTGGCGGCCAGCAGCATGACATCTGGGCAGTACTCGCACTCCAGCAGCGACACCAGGGGGGGCACGAACGCGTCTACTGGGAAGGACGCGAGGGACTCCTCTGTGCCGATCAGCAGCAGGTCGCACAGCAGAGAGAGGGATTCTAGCTGCCTGCTCGTGTCGTGCTCTGCGGTGAGGCCGGAGAGGATGGAGCGGTATCTCCCTCCCTGCGGCTGCGGCAGGTGCGCCTGCGGCAGGTGTGCCTGCGCGTGCGCGTGCGCCACCGCAGTAGCGGACGACGGCCCTGGGGCAGAGGCGGGCCCACCACCACCCACGGCGTCGCCACTGCCGCCGCCGCTGCTGCTGCCACCGCCACCACCGGCCGCAGTACCAGCAGCAGCAGCAGCAGCAGTGGCGGCGCTGCCGCTGCCGCCTGCTGCTGCTGCAGCTGCGGCAGGTGCGGCGGGATGGGGGAGGAGGTCGTCGATGGAGACGGAGAAGCGGCGGAGGAGGTTCTCCAGGGCAGAACCAGCAGAAGAGGAGAAGGACTGGCGCAGCGCTGCTGCATCCCCGTCGCCGTCCGAGTCTAGGCCTGCCAGCAGCCCGCCGCCTCCTAGGAACAGCTCGTCTCCGTCGTCTTCTTCCTCCACCGCTTCTCTCGCCTGCTCGCGCTCCCTGTCCCTCGCTCTCTCCCGCTCTCGCTCTCTCTCTTTCTCCTTCTTCTTCTCCTTCTCCTTCTCCTTCTCCTTCGCCTTATCCTTTTCCTTCCCCTTCTCCCTCTCCTTCTCCTTTCCCTTCTCCCTCTCCTTCTCCTTCCCCCTCTCCCTCTCCTTCTCCTTCTCCTTATCTTTTTCTCTCTCAGCGGACCGCTTGCTCCTGGAACCTTCCTCGTGACCGAACGACTTGAAGAAGCCTCTATCCATGCTACCGCTTGCAGTATCACCACCGCCAACAGTGCCGCTTGCTCCGCCTACTCCTCCGCCACCAGCGCCAGCTGCGGAAGCGTTCACACCAGGGGTGCGCGCAGTCGGCCCTACACCCGCGCTATTGGCGGAAGTAACCCCCGAGGCACCCGCGGCGGGAGTGGAACCAGAAAACGTGGGGTTAGCGCTAGCGGTGCTCGCACCAAGCGACGTCGCTCCGGCTGTCGCGGGGGTCGCAGAGGTCGCAGAGGTCGCAGAGGTCGCAGCGGATTTGGCGGCACCGCGTGATTTGGCTTGATGAGACAAGCGGAACTCCGCGCGGTGGGCGGAAGATGGCGGTGCAGCAAAAGTGACGCGGTTGGTGAGCCTTTTCGCGGAGGGCGGGGAGAAAGCGGAGGAGTGCGCACGCGCGGAAGGGACTGGCGCGGAAGGCTGCGCGGATGCGGGCGGCGGAGATACGATAAAGGCGGGAGCGCGGGAGATCGGGGAGAAAACCGCGGCGGCGGCGGCGGCGGCTGATGTCTTAGCGCGCTTTGCGGCCGGCGCGGACGATTGGTGAAGAGCGATTCGCCGGCCGGCGGACGAAGTAGCGGGCACCGAAGACGGAGACGACGATGCGGACAGGCGGAACCAGGAGGAGGAAACGGGAACGGACGCGCCACCTGCGGCGACGGCGGAGCGCAGCTGGCGGGAGCGGAATCTGGTCCGCGCAGACGCTTCCTTGTCCTGCCCAGCCGCCGCCGCTGCTGCTGCTGCTGCTGCTGCTGCCTCAGCCCTCTTACGGCCGCCGCTACCTTCCATAAAAGCTTCAGCAGTCGGGCGAGCGAGGCAGAAACGCCTCGCCCTCCGATTCCATGAACGAGCCTAAGGACCGCGTGAGTGCCGAAACGAACGGTGGGTGGCGACGGATGAATTATGGCAGGATGGAGTGACGATGAAGATATGCGACTGTCGATTAGCACAAGGAGGCGGCGACGATGGATTAACGGCTGAAAAAACGGCGCGTCGCAGAAGCAGCGGGTGATGGTGGGTAGTACAACAGAGCAACGGAAACTGGTTTATGGGACAAGGGCGGTCTAGCTTACAGGAATATGCAGTGTACGAGAAAGGGAAATGAAGGAGAACGGCGAGGCAGGGAGGGTGAAAATGATGAGTGAGTAGGAAGAAACTGGACATGGATTCCCCCACGAAACCAAAACCATCATCAGAAGCTCGTTTGGGGGCTGCCAGGGGCTGCAAGCAACCTTGGGGGGACTGCATTCGCGAAGAGAACAGAGCTGCTGCGAGTGTAACTTGTTTTGTGCACAGCACTTTTTGAACCCCTAATCTTTACACAATTATTCATTCTCCCCTTCATAGTGCCTTGGCTTCCTACTACTAGCTTATGAAGGGTATAACATGCCTTAGACACTTTTGTTAGAATAGCGGAATGAATAGAAATGATGGATACAGAGGAACTTATGGTTAGGTATTGTACTCTTTAAGAGCATGAACCCTTCTAGCCTATAACAATACATATGCAAATATGTATATGTTGACACACCCCCTAGGCTAGACAAGGGGCAGTGCCTAGCGAGAGACACACAGCTCAGGGCGGCACTACTATTCCAACCTCTGAGGCAAAGGTCTAAAGACCAATTAGGAAAAGTACAAGCTAAACAAGAGTAAAACCAGGGTGGCACTACTAGTCCAACCACTGGAACAAGAAGAGCCACAAGGTCAGTCGAGATAATATAATGAGTAGTACACAATCACGGTCCTAGCAAGTGCGAACCTACAGGAACTAGACCAAGTTGTGCACAGTGTCGCTTATGATCTTTAGGCGGAAGCGCCTTAGTAAAGATATCAGCAATGTTGGCACCGGAGGCCAAGTATACTATGCTTGCCTGGCGGCGCTGCTGTAGCTCGCGCAGGAGGAAGTACCGCAGCTGGATGTGCTTCGCTCTGCCCTCAAGTCGGGGCTCCTGACACAGGAGGATCATAAACCTGTTGTCAGCGTACAAGACCGGGGCAGAGCTAGGCTGCTTACCTAAGTCGGTAAGCAAGAAAGTCAGCCAGCGGAGCTCCTATGTCGCCATGGTGTCAAACATATCATTGTATGTTGTTATAGACTACATAGGGTTGTGCCTTAGAGAGTACAACCCACTAGGTTATATTCTCTTGTATGCTATGGTTCTATTCATTCGTTAACTTTGATATGGTATCATGAGCAGGTTAGGTCCCCCCCGCCCACTAGCCGGCCCCGTCGCCTAGCTGTCCCCGTAGCCCAGCCGGCCCCGCCTCCTAGCCGGCCCCGTTGCCCAGCCGGCCCCGTCACCCAGCCGGCCCCGTCGCCCAGCCGGCCCCGTCGCCCAGCCGGCCCCGTCGCCCAGCCGGCCCCGTCGCCCAGCTGGCCCCGTCGCCCAGCCGGCCCCGTCGCCCAGCCGGCCCCGTCGCCCAGCCGGCCCCGTAGCCCAGCAGGCCCCACCTCCTAGCCGGCCCCGTCGCCCAGCCGGCCCCGTCGCCCAGTCGGCCCCGTAGCCTAGCCGACCCCCGTCGCTTCGCCGCCACGCGGCCCCCAGTCTCCTAGCCGCCACGCCCCCTGTTGACCAGCCGCCCCGCGGCCTTGCCGCCCAGCCTCCTCGCGGCCCCGTCCCTCAGCTGCCCCCATGGCTCCCACCTCGCTCCATCGGCCCTTTCCACCGCACTGCACTGCACCACACTGCACCGCACTATACCGCACAGCACTGCCTTGCACCGCACTGCATCCCACTGCACCGCAATCCACCGCTCTCTACCGTCCTGTACCGCACTCTACCGCAGTTTACCGTACTGCACCGCACTGCACTACACACCACTGCTTTCCGCCGAACTCTGTCGCTCAGTCTAGCCCACTACCACATGTCTGCTGCTGTAGCGACCATGATGGCGGACTCAGTGCTGCGCTTTGATGCAGAGGGTCAGCCGGTTGAGTTCGACATGTGGCTCGTCGACCTCCACCGTCACCTCACAAGTCAGCGGCAGGACGGCCACTCCCTGGCCGTTCACATCGACGGTACGCTCCCCAACCTTGACCCCCCTACTGCTCTACCCGCTGACCCCACGCCTGCTGACCGTGAGTCTGCTGCCACTGCTATCCTTGCCCGTGCTGTCTAGTTGTCGCGTGACGCTGTCGCACAGCTTGCGATTAGTCATGCCCTCCCCTGTCTGAGAGCCCCCGCTTTAGGTCGGTCAGGACTGCGTAGGAGTTCCTTGACGCAGTTGTCGTACGCTATTCCACCTCGCCCTCTGCCTCCGTCGTTCGCCTGATCCTGCCCATGCTCTTTCCTACTCTCGCGTCTTTCTCCACTGTTGCCGACCTGGCTGCCCACCTGCGCACGCTAGACACGACCTGGTGCGCTGCCTGCACTGAGGCCTAGCTTCGTGTTTTTCAGCCCCCCATCTGCTTGCCACCTGTCTCCCTGACCGCCTTGCTACCACCCGTGATCACTTCCTTAGTCTCCACCCCGCTAACCTCACTCTTCCAGACTTTGTCGCCACCCTGTCTGCCATAGAGACTCGCCAACGCTCTATCGCCCAGTCTAGCAGTCCCTATCTTTCACGACTGTGCCCTTGCTCCGTGCTCTTACTCTGATGGTTCTGCTGCAGTCGCTGAGACAGCCTCTGCTGCATAAACAGCTGCCGCGGATACAGCAGCGCAGTTTCGTCCGGGTAAGGGTCGCCGCCCCAAGGCTGGGCGCGACGGAGGTAGTGGAGGAGGGGGTGGAGGTAGTGGTGGAGGTGGTGGAGGTAGTGGTGGAGGTAGTGCTGGTAGTACTGACAAGGGGCCTGGGGCTGGTGCCTCGGAGCAGCAGCCCCAGCAGCAGCAGTAGCAATAGGCGCCGCAGCAGCAGCAACAGCAGCAGCAGCAGCGGCGGGTCGACCGTCTCCCGCTCGGGTGGCCTGGCGCCAGTGGTGGCGGTGGTCGTGCGCGCAGCGTGATGTCGGGTGGTGGTCTGAGTGACGGCGTTTCCTAACCAGCATCATACCGGTCCTTGTCGCGGCCTCGTATCACAGGATCGAATGTGTCGAGGAAAAGTTGCACTATCGATTGATACAAGGCGCTTTTATACTTCCATAGTATATAAGGTAACCAGGTTTATCCTATCCAAAAGGAATAGACCCTTCTAGAAAATAGAATCACCCTGCGTATAGCCACGCGAGGCTATTGGCTTTAAGGGATTACGACAGGATTACGCTAGATATAGCGCGCCAGTACATCCCGAGCCTGGTCGGTAATGTAATTATAATAATATGATAACCCGAAGGATAATGAAAAATGAAGAATAGGAAACCAATGAAGATGAGATGAATAGAGAAATAAAATAGGAGGGAAATAACGAAAGAACAAGTGGTGTAATGGGGTCGTACTCTCACACCTCGTGTGCGGTAAGATCAGCCATACCCCCACTCGTTGCTTCAATCGCCTAGACGACCTGTTTTGTCTCCGCTTCGGCCGGGCGCCAAAACTCCCCGACTGGCACAGTCTGCTCCACCGTGGTGTTAGGATCTTGATATGGACATGGATGAGATTAGCTCTGCTTTGTATGTGCTGTATGTTGATGACTCTAGTGTGACTGGTTCCTATTACCCTGTATTGCCTAGTGTAGTTGTGCCCAGTGTGCCTAGTTCAGACTCCCCTGCTGAATCAGGCGTAGGATCCCCTACCTTGTTTAGCCTTGGGTCCTCTCTCGCTCCTCCGACACCTGCCGCCACTGCCGCGCTCTCCTTCACTCTGGACTCCGGCGCTTCCCGGTGTTTCTTTCGGGACTCCACTACACTTACGCCGCTTACCGCTCCCGCCGCAGTTGCCATTGCAGACCCTTCCTCCTGTCCTGTAGACGCCCGTAGCTCCACCACCCTTCCCTATCCGGCGGTTCCCTCGGGCTCCCTTATAGGCATGCACATCCCCTCGTTCTCTAGGAACCTAGTTGGTGTCGGCTGTCTCCAGGACCTTGGCGTCACGACTATGTTCCCTGGTCATGATCAGTACGTTGTCTGTACCGAGGCCGCCATTGGTGCTCCTGTCACCACGTTCCTCCGGGACCCGGTTTCTGGCCTGTTCATGCAAGACACTGCGTCCCACCCAGTTGGGACGCCTCCCCAGGTGTTTGTGTCTACCCAGGTTACTGCGGCTTGCTCGTGTCGGTCGCTTACTCACCCATCGCTTCTGTGGCACCACCATCTAGGCTACCCCGCTCTTACCCGTCTCCGTCACATGTCCCAGCACAGTCTTGTCTTAGGTTTCCCTGCATCGTTCCCTGCACTCCCCTCCTCACCAGCACCGCCGTGCATGCCCTGTGTCAAGGGCCGGCTCCGCCATGCCCCTCACTCCTCCTCGTTCCCCCCCACCGCCGTACCGCTGCAGACCCTGCACATGGACGTCTTAGGCCCCGCCCCCGTCCATGGGCCGCGTCGCGAGCGCTACTTCCTAGTGCTTGTCGATGACTACACGCACTACGCCACCGTGTTTCCCCTGAAGCGGAAAGGCGACATGCCTGACGTTCTTATCCCATGGATTGTCTCTGCGCGTGTGCACCGAGGTCTCCCTGTGTTGCGTCTTCACTTTGACCGTGATGGCGCGTTCGCCTCTGGTTGCCTTGTTTCTGTCGTGCGGGAGGCATCACCCAGACGTTCACCCAGTCGGACTCCCCGCATCAGAATGGGTTCGCTGAGTGATGCATCGGTTTGGTCATGGAGGTGGCTCGTACCTCCATGATCCATGCCATTGCACCCCATTTTCTTTGGCCGTTCGCCGTTCGCTACACCGCTCACCAGCTTAACCTGTGGCCGCACCCTCAGCGGCCGCAGGTTTTGCCGACCCTCCTCTGGACCGGGTCCCCAGGTGACGCGTCTGCGTTCCATGTCTGGGGCTGCCTTGCTCACGTTCGTGCCTCTGGCATGGACAAGTTCATTGCCCGCACCATCCCCTGTGTCTTCCTAGGTTTCCTCCTCAACGACTGGCACTTCTACGACCCACCGTCTCACCGAATCTTTCACTCCCGACATCACCTTTGACGAGTCCGTATCCATTTACCACCGCTTTCCCCACCGTGGTCCCCCTCTTACCCCCCCCTGTTCTTGGTTCCCCCTCCCCCAGTCGCCCCCGCCCC